CTCATGTTATGTTATGCAGGGCTCTTATTATGTTATGAGAACCAGTTTGGTGTAGTGGTTAAGTGTGAGGACTCTGATCTGGGAGAACCTGGTTTGATTCCCCACGCCTCCACTTGCACCTGGCTGGATGACCTTGGGCAAGCCACAGTTCTGGCACAGCTGTTCTTGAAAAAGAGCAGTTTGTGTCAGAGTTCTCTCAGCCCCACCCACCTCTGAGACGCCAAGTGAAGGGCGGGGTATAAATCCAATCTCTTCTTCTTCTTCTATGTTCTCTCAGGGTCCAGAATGTACATCTAGCTGTTGTATTTTTTTTTTAAATCTCACCCTTTCCCCAAGGTTTTGATATGGATCAAATGGAGGTGGTTTGTTTCTGTCTGATCCTCATAACGACCCTGTGAGGCAGGTCAGGCTGAGAGAGGACGACTGGCCCAAGGTCACCCAGTGAGCTGAGTGGTGATATGAAGCTGCCTGCTGCTGGAAACAAAAGATGGGGCCTAGATGGACCCTTATGAAGAATGTAAGAGAAGCCATGTTGGGTCAGGCCAGTGGCCCATCCAGTCCAATGCTCTGTGTCTGGCTAAAACCCAGGGGCCATCAGGAGGTCCACCACCAAGGCCACAACTCCAGAAGCCCTCCCACTCTTGCCCCCCCCAGCACCAAGAATACAGAGCATCACTTGCCCCAGACAGTGTTCCCTCTATACCTTGTGGCTAAAAAACAGTCCAGTGGAGCCTGAGCGGCGGGTGTTGCCTTCTGACTCACTTCCGGTGAAGTCAGGGTGTGTGGCATATGCAAATACGTTATGCTAATGAGTTATGCTAATGAGCTCCTGCACCTCTTTTTCTACGAAATGACCCCTATTTATGTGTACTAGGTACGTTGTGAATAAATAAAAAAGAGCCCTCCTCCCTCCCTCCCTGCCCAGGGATGGTTCCTTGGTGCGAAAGGATACCTGTTCATCAACTGTAGAAGGAGCCCCTTTTGAGGTAACATCCCCCCCCCTTTTAAAGAACAGACCTATCAGCAGACATGACACTTAAGTGGAACCACTATAGACAGAGGCAGTTCACCTCAGTCCCTGAGGGACAAACAACAGAGGCCCTCTCTTTGGGCCTGCTTGCGAGTTTCTCGGCAGCGTCCACCTGGAAAATAGATGCCCGGCTGTCCAATTCAGCAAGGCCGTCCTTAATACAAAAATCAATGACACTGTAACTTTTCTTATCCTGTTTTCCATTTCTTTCCTGCACCTTCTTTTCACTGCTTGTTCTTGCGAATGCTCACAGTGTGCAAAAACAGGGCCGGGGTAGAAAACATTTTAAAAAGAGATAAACAAACCCATGCCAATAAACTGCTCAGTCAGGGAACAGCCTCCGTCTCAAAGTCCACCCAAGCCTTCTGGTTTGCACCAAAGTTTTACAGTCTGGGGTGAAGGTAGTGTCGGGGCCAATTTCTCTCCTTTACGGTGGCACATGTTGACCTGGGTATGCTGTTTCCATTCAAAACAGAAGAGCAGCTTTGCATACAACGACAAAAGGTCATCTACTGCAGCGGCCGGCTGGGACAGAGCCCAACCAGGTTCCTCTAAAAACTCGCAAGCAAGGCACGAAAGCAGCAGTGCTCCAATGCTCTCTGTCCCCAGCATCCCAGGTACACTGCTTGAGAGCATGGAATCGTAGAGTTGGAAGGGACCTCCAGGGCCATCTAGTCCAACCCCCTGCCCAAGCAGAAAATTCATAACTCCCTCCCTCCCACACATACTCCCAATGACCCCTAGCCAGAACACACGGAAGAAGATGACTTGGTTTTATACCCTGCCCATCACTATCTGAAGGAGTCTCGGAGCAGCTTACAATCGCCTTCCCTTCCCTTCCCCAAAACAGACACCCTGTGAGATAGGTGGGGCTGAGAGAGCTCTGAGGGAACTGCTCTTGAGAGAACAGCTCTGAGAGAGTTGTGACTGGCCCAAGGTCACCCAGCTGCCTGCATTTGGAGGAGTGGGGAATCAAACCCGGGTCTCCAGCAATGATCCCTCTAAGCTATGGAGCCTTGTGAGCAAAAAATTCTACTTTGTGAGCGACTGGCATTAAAGTTGTGAGCGAGCGATTTGGCTCCTGCATAAATTAGTGTGCTCTGGTGGAGCCACCCTTCCTGAGCAAGGACAAAAATGTGTGAGCCGGAAGCTTTAAAAAACTGTGAGCTAGCTCACACTAACTCAGCTTAGAGGGAACACTGGACTCTCCAGATTAGCGTCTGCTGCTCTTAACCACTACACCAAACAGGCTCTCACTGACCTCCAAAGCAGTAGCAGCCAGGCATGTTTACACCCTGCCTAGACCCCAGTCTCCCTGAGAAATGTCATCTTTGAACAACTGTCTAAACTCATACTATCTGTACGGGTTTTAATGCCCTGACCTGACTGGCCCGGGATAGGCCAATCTCATCAAGTCTGGAAGTTAGGCAGGGTCGGCGCTGGTTAGTCCTTGGATGGGAGACCACCAAGGAATTCCAGGGCTGCTACAAAGAGGCAGGGCAAACCATCTGTGTCCATCTCTTGCTTTGGACACCCTACGGCAGAGGCCTTCAGCCTTTTTGAGCCTGCAGGCACCTCTGGAATTCTGACACAACCTGGTGGAGCACAGCCACAAAATGGCTGCCACTGGAGGCGGAGCGAGCCACAAAATGGTTGCTGCGGCTTAACTGGACTCACACAGTGAAGATCCTTGTGTTATGGGGCAACTGCTGCCAAAGCAACATTTTTAAAAATCTGCACAACTCATCGGATCTCCAGTAGCCAATCGGAAGCCCCCACCTGGTCCCACCCACTTTCTAAAAACTCTTGGTGGGCAGCAGAAATGGTGTCAGTGCCCACCGTGGTGCCCATGGGCACCACGTTGGGGACCCTCGCCCTACAGTGTCGGCTGCAACTTGACGGCACTTTCCCCACCACCACCGCTTTTAAACTGATGCAAGTGGCTCCATGAGCCGGCTTTTTGGCTGAAAACGCAATACGTAAATAAATCCCCTGAAGTATCCTACACGTACAATTGACAGTGAGGTGGATCCAGGTGCCGTTCAGGAACTCATCGTCGCTGTTGGGTCGGTCCAGAAAGAGCACCCGGCACTCGTACCAGCCTTGGTCCTCGGCACGCAGTTGGTCGATCCGAAGAGAGGCGCCCTGGAAGATTCGCACCCGACCTGTGAGGCAGATGAGAAATCAGAGTCAGAGACTCCCGTACCGTTACGCAAACCAAACTTTTATGAGTGATCCTTGAATCAGGACAGAATGGGGAATCATTACTAGGAAAGATTTTAAAAATTCAAGTTACTAGTTCAGAGCAAGAAAAGAAAAGGAGAGAGGGGTGGTAATACACTTGCTGCAATTTGAAGGAATTGTGAGTATGTAACTAACATCTAGCAGACTCTGTTTTTTAAACACACACACATTTTGGATTATTTCTTTTTAAGGATAATGGAAACCGGGAGGCATAAGAACAGAAGAAAGCATTCTTTGTTAAGGAAGTGTCCTGTTTTGCACATTGGCCAGTCTGACGCTTCTACGCAGGGGTCATTTTGTAGAAAAAGAGGTGCAGGAGCTCATTAGCATAACTCATTAGCATAACTTATTTGCATATGCCACACACACTGACATCACCGGAAGTGTGTCAGAAGGCAACACCCACCGCTCAGGCTCCACCGGACTGTTTTGGATTGCTAGCTATTGGGGGGGTGGGGACATGCAGATCTGCCCTAACAGAGGAGGGAGAGCTTGTACCTAAATAAAACTTGGTCTTAAAGGTGCCACTGGACTGTTCTGGACTGGGGGGGGGGGCTCTGCAACTTACCTGGCAGCTTCTTGCTCTGACTGAGGGCTGCTGGGAGCAGGGGGTGGGGCTTGTTGCATGTGCCCACCCCCTGGGCTCTTTACTGCCAGAGCTCCGCTCCTGCGCGCTCCTGCAGGAAATTACCCCTGCTTCTACGAATCCCACAAGCAGTGCATAATAACAATAGTTTTCCCCCCTGTTGCATCTGGTATTTCAGAGGCAGACTGCCCCCAAACATGGAGGTTCTGATTAGCGGAAGAGCCCTGCTGGATGAGACCAAAGGTCCACCTAGTCTAACAGCTTGTTTTATGTTGTGGCACCTTTAGCTGCAGGTCCCCATGCATGCAGTAGCCCCCAGCAACTGATACTGAGCAGCATACTGCCCTTAAATATGGAGGTTCTATTTGGTCAACATGGCAAGTAACTGTTGGTTTCTCCCACCCCATGAATCTGTTTGGCCCCCTTTTAAAACCATGTAAGCCAGACAGCATTCCAGCACAACCACGGTCTATTACTTTAAGGGTTAAGGAGAGAATCACACTAATTGCAAATGTTAGCATTATTTCTGATTTCATGCATGCTTCTTAATATTGAGGCTGATATTTAAAACAAGCTAGACCCGTTATTCCATCCCACACTTCAAACAAGCACCACAACATGAACAGAATTTAAGTTTTCCTGTCTGGAGAGGAACGGAACCGGTTCCAGAGGTGGACCAAACTGGTTAGAAACCCCTTTTTTGGCCTGAACTGAAATCAAGCCAGAAAAACTTCAAAAACCACAGCTGAAACTGAAACAAATCAGAAACTGAAGTAGGTTGATTGCCTGATCTACTGCATGCCTGGATGGCTCCCACAATTCCCTAAGTGACCAAAACAGACTTTGGCACTATAAGAGTACAAGAAAGGGGACCCGCAATACTTGGGGGGGGGGGGAAGAGCTCCACGCAGAGCAGGAGGAGGAGGAAGCAGCAGCAGCAGCAGCATGTAAGCCTCCCCCCCGGACACCGGCAGCGCGGCCTGAGTGGCTGCCAGCCACCAAGCCCACCAATTCCCTCCCCGTCCTCGGTCTCCTCCACCCCCCCCACCCCCCAGCTCCTATGGCGAGGCCTGAGCGGCTGCCAGCCGCCGATCTCCTCCTCCCCTCGCCCGGCCTCCTCCCTGCCCCCCAGGGGCCCCCGCTGTCCGG